TTTCCATACTCCAAAATAATCTAAATAAATTAAATAATTAATTTATGGATTCAAAGGGGAAACATAGATAATAACTTGCCTTATGGATTTGAAACAAATCCGCAGGTTGCGAGTAGTCGGGTAAAATCACCTACACCGGTTCAAGCCTCTTTCTCTCTCTTTTCCTTTCACTCTTCTAGAATAACTCACTGTTATTTTTTTTTCTCTCTTCTACTTACGTGGGTTGTCTTCAAGTGGTAAGCTAGACTAATATATATACTAACTTATATAATATATAATACAAATATCTAACTTATAATAACTATCAAAACATTCCTAACTACTCTAATTGAATGCAATATAATCTAAGTCAATTCAACCAATTTTACATAGAGTTATAATATACAAAATGAAATCCTATCATTCAAACTACAATCATGACATTGTTTTATTATTATTATTATTTATACATAATAATACACTACAATACAAATGTACTAAATTAATTAACTAATACTAATTAACATAACCGATATAATATATAAATAATATAAGAACATATAATTAATATTGCATGCACAAACAAATAAATAATATTAATTTAATAATTTAGTATAGGTAATTAAAAGGTGAATAAATCTACACATTAAATAATTAATCTAAGATAGAAAGAATTTAAATAAACTCTTAAAAAATTTACAGGGCATTACAGTGAACTTGTAACTTGACATTGGACTTACCTTGTAATCTTGATGATTTAATCCTTTTAGTAGATTAAATTCCCTTTAATGCTTCCACCGATTTAATCATGACCCTTGTAACTTGGTTTCATTAAAGTACTTCATAGACTTACACTTTTGTCTTAGAATGATTTGATCACTCATGTGTTGCTTAGTAAGTACTTGAATCATGTATCATATAATTATGGTATTTTTCCTTCAATGGATTCCATGTGATATGTATACGTCTTGGTTTTAATCTATATAGATACATACTTTGATTTCTTGACATTTCACATGCCATTATGGTTGAGAACTTAGGGCATGACTTGTGTGTTCCAAAATCTTGGTTGTGCATGAAACGTGATTAATGCGTTTCTTGTATTTGATACAATCTTGACTTACACAACTTGTTGATTTTGGGACTTGGGATATCAATCAAGAATTTACATGGCTAGGATTTGGTTCTAGTACGGGGGAATGTCCTCCTACACTATAGTGTGCACTAGGGGAAAGGTACACATGGGTTAGTAGCCCTAAAGTGATCTCAAGAGTACGGTTTTAATCTGGGCGATATTCGAGTTTCCACATTGGTTGTTTCAAGTTGTTATGCCTTGAAGATTTAAACGTATCGTGTTATGTGAAATGCTCCAATCTTGTTTCATTGCTTAGATTTTATGCTCATCCTTGATTTCAGTCCTTAAATTTCAAGTGTTATTCCTTGAAGATTTAAGAATCTCTTATGTTATATAAAATGTTCTAATCTTGTCCTTGCATAGATTTTATGCCTTGTCCTTGCATAAATATTATGTCTTGTTCTTGGTTTCATATATTTCCTCCATCGTGTTAATTGGAATGCTCCAATCATGTTAATTACATTGATAATATAATTCTTTTTAACTTATATCCTAGTATTCTAGTACTTTCTTATCGTGTTCTATGGATTATTCCAAACCTTGTCTAATTGTATTAAAAATGCAATTCATGTTGATCTGTTTTCAAGCATCCATCTTATCGTGTTCCTTGGATTATCCTAACCTTGATTCCTTTCATATATGTATATATATCATGATTGTTGTTGCTTATACTCTAAGGTAGCTTAGGATGCTCCCTGAGTCTCACCTTGACACAGACGTTAGGTGGCATGACCCTTTTCAACTGTATTATGTTAGTCTAAAAATCTGAAAGAAATCGAGTCATGCATGCACATTCTCTACGAGTAAACTTGTTTACTCACCCCGAAGTTACTGGGGGTTTTGATCAGGTACGAAGACTTGGTTTGTGATTTTTATCATGCTTGGATGATTTGTAGACTTGAAGATTTCAATTCTTGTAAATGTCGACTTGAAATGCCATTTGTAGCCATTTTGTCAAATGTGTATATTTGATTCCAAACTTGTATTATGTGCTTAAGCACACTTTTTGGTATTCATTCTATGTATATGATATGTGATCAAGGGCCAAACTTCATTTGTAATCCATGTATATTGAAAAATGTAGAATTTTGCCTTTAATGAGAAAAACATGAAAAGTTGGGTTTTAATATGTCATTTTTGCATCGGTGTGTGCATTGTGTATGTAATTCATCCTTTAGCATTCGTTTACCATGTGTGAGGTGTGGCCAAGGGCCAAACACCACTTAGTTTTCATTTTTCGCGTTTTAGTTCCACATATTGCATTTTAGGCTAAAATAGTATAATCCGAGCCTTTAAGGGTTTATTTTCATATCAGGTGGTGCAAAGTGTGTTCCAGCACCTCCACTAGGTCTCATTAATCATGTTTGAAGTGTGGCCATAGACCAAACAGTAATTTCCAATCATTTGTTAGTTTTGGTTTTCAAAATTTCCATTTCAAGTTCATTTTCGCCTTTCTGGCCGTTGGGGGGTCAGATTTTGACTCGGCCATTTTCGAGAGCCGCGGACCATTCCCGCGTGGTCAAAATCACTTATTATGTTTGCGTACATATTCGTTTCAGCCTAGAAATGCATTTGGGGTCAAATGTATGCTTGGTGCAAAGTTGTTTTTTCACCGTTTTTGAGCCTAATCTGGTCTAAGGGCATTCTAGACATTTCACAGTGTTTTTTTTTTTTTTTTTTTTCCGTCTATATGCTCGGGTAGAAAACATGATTTTGGGGTGGGTTTCTTTTTTGTGTTTTTTTCAAAAAGGCCCAAAAAGTCCTCCAAATCACATTTCAAACTCAGATTTCTGCAAAGCCTTTAGCAGAACGAGCGCTCGTCCATGTTGCACGAGCGCTCGTAAATGGGGCAGAGAATTTTGGCCCTGGGGCATGCGGTGTACGAGCGCTCGTAGCCCTTACATGAGAGCTCGTGGAACTGTTCACGTGTGTGTGTGTGTGTGTGTGTGTCTCTTGGTTCAGCACTGCACCTCCGACTTTGGATCATTGTATCTCCTTCGTTTTAACTCCAAATTGGTCTGTTCTTGAGTCTAAATTGACCGTGTCGAAATAAGCTTTCCAATGGTGCTAATTAGAGCTTTAGATTCTATTTGTACCTCAAGATATTCAAGTTTTAGTATGGTAGTATCAGTTTTTGGTTCGAACCGGAATAGGGTTTTCCTTCCTTTGACTTCAAGACTTGATATCTTTGCCATCCAGACTCCGAATCAAGTGATTCTTGAGCCCATCTTGATTGATTTTTCATTGTATTTTTAGCGGAGTGCTCGGTGGCACCCGAATCTATAGTTTCTAAAATGACTATTTTGTCCCTGGGGGCTTAATTGTTATTTTTCTAATCTTTTACTTCCGCATCAGTTCTCATTGAGTTCTATGACCTCATGGAAGGTCATCTTAGAGTCTTAGAGGTGTTTTGTGCCTTGGGAGACTATTGTCTTGTTTCTTGCTTCTGCATCTGGATCCATTAACGAGTCAATCTTCGGTTCATCACTGTTGCTCCGGGTTGAATAAAATCTAGGGTCGTTACACTGCTAGAACAATAGCTACCATAGCAACCAATCCACAAGTCGCGGTGACACAGATCCCGGATGCCTTATTAAAGCACTTGATCAACTTAATCTTCCGAGCCACATTTCTCTTTTTTGATTTTAAGTGTTGTAACACCGATGAGTGCTTATCGTGAATCAGCTTAAAGTCTTGTTTGTTAAGATCAGAAAAGGGGTTCCTAAACAATCGGATGACCGGTTCTCTATTTCGGCCAACTGAAGCACATGGCTTCATTTCGATAGGACCTCCCTTTCATTTCGGTCTGCTGAAGTGACTGAGCTCATTTTGGTAGACCGAAATGGCATTTTGGCTGACCGAAATGGCGTTTCGGTCGACTAAAATGCCCTAGGTCTTCTGCTATCTTGTTTTGGCCAGCTTTGTTGCCCGAACTTCAAATTGTCATGTCTTTTTCATTTATAATCCAAATAGGGTCATTCTTGAGCCTAAACTCAAGGATTTTGAGTTAGCTTTCCAATGGTACCAATGCCATTCTTAGAGTAAAATTACAATGTAAGTTATTCATGTTTTTGTGGGGCAGTGTTAGATTTTTCTTAAACCAGGAATGGGTGTTTTATAGGATTCTTGGCCAAAGTTCTTAGAACCTCTTGGATTGTCGTGTAATGATTAAATTGGGTTGTATGAACCTCTTTTGACTTGTTTGGACTCAAATTTTCCTTTTTATTTGTGATTTGACCATTTTGCCCTTGGGGGCATACTTGATCCATTTTCAGTCTTTTGCTTCCGCTTTTGCTTTTGTTGTGTTCTATGACTTTATGGAAGTCACTTAGGCTTCCAAGGGATACCGTATATCCCTAAGGACTTTGTTTTCTATTTTCGCTTCTGCATTCCAGATCCGTTAGTGGACAACTTTCGGGTCATTTTGACATATTCGGGTTTGTGAAAATTCGGAATGTCACACTTCAAGTCTTTGATCTTCTGTTTGAGGTATACTGACGTGGTAAGTGCCACGTAACTTAGACCGTTTGACCGTTTGACTTGTGGGCCATCGTTTTTGATGCGGCGTCGCTTGTTAACCATTTGACCAAGTTTTGTGGGCCATTGTTGATGATGTGGCATAGTTCATTGATTGTTTGAACAAGAAATGTGGGCCATGTGAAGTAAGATATATTCAATACCTACAACTTGAAAACCAAATTTGAATATAGAAGTTACACCAACAGCTAGCTATTTGGTTTGCCTTCAATGGGCTTGTTTGGGTTAGACAAGCGTTGCTTTAAATTCCCATGTTTTGTATATATTGGCCAACTTGGACCATGTCCATTTATGGACCACTACTTACATTAATAGACATTTGCTTAAATTTAAATAACTTTAAATAACCTTATAAAAATAAAATAACCTTAACATATTCACAATTAAAAAATGAAAAACAATAAGTACTATACAAGACACTAAATTGTGGTTACTTTTCTAAATCTTGTGCAGAAGTTGTTGCGATTTCTTTAATCACCAAAGCTCTAGCTCGATTAATGGAGACAAGGCACAAATATACATGCTCTTCAAGCTCCTCTACTTGTTTCCTGAATCCAACATTGCTCTTCTTAAGCTCCTTCAATACCTGGATAGAAAATTTATCTTCCCTCCTATCCAAACACATTTGAATCATTTCCTTCTTGTACTCAACCTCATCCTGAAGTCGGGCCACAAGCCGACTCAGTGTATCAAAATCCCTATTCAAAATGTAGGTACCCTTTGCTGCTACATCAAGCTGCTCTCCAACTTTCCTAAGAAATCCACATCTCAGAAACTGCAGACTCCGAAGCTGCTTCTTCAAAGGCTTGACCGGTATGCCCAAGATGGCCGGTCCCAAGACAAGTGCAGTGAGCGTACGTGCTGCTAGAACAATAGCTGCCACAGCAACCAATCCGCAAGCCGTGGTGACACAAATCCCAGATGCCTTGTTGAAGCACTTGATCAACTTAATCTTCCGAGCCACCTTTCTCTTTTTTGATTTTAGGTGTTGCAACACCGATGAGTACTTGTCGTGAATCAGCTTAAAGTCTTGTTTGTTAAGATCAGAAAAGGGGTTGTTGAGGACAATGGAAGACCTTAGCTCGGAAATGATCAATCCATGTTGCTCGGGAGAAGGACTGTCAATTGTGTCGAGCGCTTGTTGAATGAAGCTGCAGTTAGTTTGGACCTGGATGATGCTTCTGAGGAGGTGGCTGCAGATTTTTGAAGCCTCCGCGCTGATATCAAAGTAGTTGAGTATTAGAGCTTTGAGATCGGATTTCTTTGAGATTAGTACAGCTGATTCAAGAACAGAGACTATGGTCTCTTGTCCGGGTTCGAGGAGGATATCGGAGACTCTGTGATGGCAATAAGATGGAGACTTTGGTTCATTTGCCAATGATTGAGCTTTACTGAAGAAATCTGCATACGATTTAGTTCTTAAGGCGCTAAGGTATTCCTCGTTGACATTGAGGCTTTTCTGAGCTTCTTTGGATTCCTTCCCATCTGATCAAACACAGAATATGAATTTATAAATTTTAGTATTAGAAGCTCCAATCTAAATTTTCAAATTTACGAGTTACAAATTAACTACTAAAAAGATTAACATCCATCTACAGACTCCGATCATTGGAAAGTTCAGTGCATATTAACATATATATATATATATAAACACACACACACACACACATATGTATCCTTTCTCAAACAATGGATCACATATATAAGAATGAAAAATAAAATAAAAAAAATTGAAGAAAACTGAAGAGTACACCGGATAATTATTACAGAGTATTATTATTATTATTATTATTATTATTATTATTATTATTTCCCATTTTCTTCTCTATGCGGTCACTTAATAAATAAATAGAATCAGATCCAGATATTACAAAAGTTCAATAATTAAATAGGCAAATATTCCATGATATACACAAAGATGCATTATAGTCAAGGAAAGGAAGCCACATAATTTTCAAGTTTGCGATGAGAGAGAAAAAAAAATTAGAAAAGAAAGAAAGCCATAAATACTAAAAAAAACATTATGGCACGAAAGGAAAGGAAAGGAGAGATAAAATTTTGAAATAAAGAAAATGAAGTGGCTGATTACTTCTATGTCCTCTAAAACAATAAATGTACGTAATAAAGACAATAAACTTAATGAAGTCTTTGTAGATCTAGCTGACTAGCAACAGCTTGAACATTATTTTGAATATTAAAAGAGAACTTCCCTGCATATATTTTCTTTCCAATTTTTTTAAGGGTTTATTTATTTATTTATTTCCCCCCAAATTATCTTCATGAAAAGAGACTAATAATAAGAAAATATATAATAATGAAAATCCTAAAAAATTAAGAAATGCTCAATGTTCTTCCCACATCTTGAGATGCCTCTTCAATTCAAAGAAGGGGCCAAATATATGTATATATATATACACACACACACACAAACGTATCATTATTTATTTATTTTAATGAACAAAAAGCTAATAAATCATAAGAACAAACCTTTGTTGATTGAAGCTCTGAATCTTGCCCACATCTTGAGTTCTTCTTATATGTAAGAACAACAAAGTTTATGGTTTGACAAAGGCACAGCTCTCAAGTCTCAACCTGTCATGAGAAGATCTATATATATATATAAACCGATATTTTGATAACTCTAGGCAAGCTCTCTCTTGTAATATCTTACAAGGAAGGATAATGAAGAGTTCTAATAATTAAGCACGTAAACTTCGTAGGTTGTTTGATGGATCTATGAATCTTTTAAAGCCACTAAAAGGTATTTTAAGAATTGTGTTTTACGTTCTCTTTTGATAACTCTAGGTTCATCTCATCTTTAATTCCTTGCTAAAGAGAGAGAGAGAACTAGAGAGAGAGAGAGTTGCTTCTCCAAGATGATTGCAAGCTTTATTGCCAAATTGATGAAGAGCTCTCATCTATTCAGGACCTTTATTGCATCTGTTTGCCGCCTTTATCTATCGCCGCCTTTATATATCTTCTTGTTCAAAAGTTGTATATAACTTTTGGATAGTTGCACCATTTTAAACCACGAAAAATGAGTATTATGTAACCAACATAGCGTTGCTTTATTTGCATGACGTATGAGACCCTTTATTTTGGGTTTAAATTACCAGAATACCCTCTACAATTGCATTGGTTAGGTATTCTAGTTTTGGAAATTGTATATATAGTTTCAAGAACTGGCTCACCAAAACTGAGAATGTTAGTTTATATATATATATATATATATATATAAACCACGAAAAATGAGTATTATGTAACCAACATAGCGTTGCTTTATTTGCATGACGTATGAGACCCTTTATTTCGGATTTAAATTACCAGAATACCCTCTACAATTGCATTGGTTAGGTATTCTAGTTTTGGAAATTGTATGTTTATATAGTTTCAAGAACTGGCTCACCAAAACTGAGAATGTTAGTTTTTATATATATATATATATATATATATATGTAATTAATATACGAAAAATGATACATGAACGAACCAACCAACCAAGTGTTATTTCTTAGAAATATTTCTTTTATTCTTTGTTTGGTATGCAAGAATGAAATACTCATTACAATCATTTATTTGTTTGGTATGCAATTTAAAGTGAGAATGACCATTCCATTGAATCAAAATCTATTTGTGAGAATGAAAATCCATTCCACAACTAAACCTATGGAATGTCCATTCCTAAATAAATTTTTTTAAAAAATCAAGTTTCCAAAAAACCTTCATGTTTCAAGTTCAAAAACCACAACCACCAACAACAATACCTTCCACCTTCCGCCACAACCACCATCACCTTTTATCACTTCACCTCCAGTGCCTTCCACCACCGCTACCATTGTTGCCGCCTTCAACCACTAAACCGCCACTGTATCCACTACCTTCCACCACCACCACTAACTTCCACCACTGCCACCGCCTTTCACTTCTACCACCTTCGACCACTGCCACCTTAATTGCCTTCCACCACCAACACCATTACCGCCACCACCACCGCTACCTTCCACTTACCACCGACACTACTGCGGCCTTTTAAATGAGTATCATCATTCATTATACATAACTTGAATTCCTTTCAAAATGTGTATCACTGCTCTTAATATACATTCATATTAGGGTAAGCACTAATATAAATTAAATTTTTAATAGTTACAAAATAACTGTAATAAATTTTAACACATAATATTGTTAGAGTATCTCTTAAATTTTATCATATTATAGAGTTCTGGAGAAGTTCGATCGGTTGCACTTATCGAAGCGGTGAAGATTGAGCCGGTGGCACTTTTTTGCAACCGATTGCACTCACGTGATATGTGGAGGATTTATTTTCTTATTCGAATAATCACTTTTTTAAAGGCGGTAAATTTATAGAACAAGTCGTTTCTTTGTAATTAAGGAAGTTATCTATTATTAGGATTTTGTGATTGATTTAGTAACTTCGTGTTAGACAAGATAAGAAATAAGGAATCTGTTGAAGACACAATAAATAGAGGTGGAGTTGGGTTGAGAAGATAGAAAAAAAAAAATTAAAAATTGGTTTGAGTGGGTGAGAAGAGAGAAAGAAGACTGAGTATAGATGGAGCCTTATAAGAAGCGAGGTTACTCTTAATCAGAAATAAAGAGTTGGTATACAGAAAGAGTGAATGAAATATATTGTTAGAAAATATATGTTTCATATGACATTTAAGATATAACTAACATTATACTAATATGCCATGATATAATTAATGATATGCTAAAAATAATTAATTAAATATGCAACTCGATATTTAACTAAACATTCAAATTAAAGAAATAAAATAATAATAATAAATAAAGAACCTGGACCGAGGCTAGTATTGGATATTATGTCTTAGGACAATTTACTCCCCGCATGGTGCTAACGGATTCTGTGGTGCTTATCTCTCACGATATAACGGTCTACATCCACCAGTAGCAATACTACAAACTCGTGGATACGGCAAACGTCTTCTATGTAATACTCTCTCTAACTCAAAAAAATGCATTAATACTATAAAAATGATGAAATTGGTGCAACTAGAACCAAATGGCTCAAACCAATTTTAAAATGGCTTAGTGAAATTATATTATGGTCCAAGTGGCTCAAACCATTTGACCAATGGCTTGAACCCACTTGGTTTGGTTTCAAGTCTAGGGAGGGAGAGAACAAATTAGAGAATTGAACGAATTGTAAATGGCAGCCAATGGGGTATTTATAGAAATAGAAGTGTCTTTTCAGATTCAGAGTGTTTCTTCATCGTTGGATAAAACCATTTATATGTGTCTCTTCATAATTGGACAGAATTATTTATATATGTCTTTTCACTACTGGACACAACCATTTATATGTGTCTCTTCATCACTTGACATAACCATTTATATGTATTTATTTATCACCAGACACACCTACTGCAATAGGTTGCAATGGTTCACATTGAATAGGTTATGTTTGTTGGTTTTGAATTGCATCTTTTCATCTCACAACCATCCAGTGATCACATATATTTAGTCAAATCCATCTGTTGATGATTGATGAAACAATTTTCATTCACAATTTCTAACAAAAATTAGTTAGCAGATAAACTTCTTATGGGATGAGTTGAGTGCATTCCTTACTTGTAATATTTCTTGTTGACCCTAGAAGATTGAGTCAACTATGTAACATCATGTTTTATGTGCTTCATTAATATTTCTATATATTTGTGATTCATGTGTGATGATGACATGTTTCGATTATAGTGGAATAAAAGGAGAAATTAGTTAGTAGATAAACTACTTATGTCAGGATAAGTAACTTTTGGCCTTGAACCTTACCTAGTGTATTACTATCGAATGTACTGGTTAACTAGTGAACGTGATGTCTCGAACTGTTCAGCCATTGATGTAAACTAAGACAATAACAAACACATAGTTCCCTTCCTCACAGAGTTAGTTCTTATTGTTGTGTTCATTTTGGCCTTAAACAACTCCTGGTATTCAATGAGTCCTCCAGAAAACTTAACCTCTAAAGTGATAGAAACGGCCCCACTTCACACTCATATAGGTGACTTTTTATTAAGAGTATCCTACCATACCCCACTTAAATTTTCAAGGTATAAGAGTCATTAAAAGCATAACTTATCCTGATCCTTGTTGTACGTAGCACTGTATCAGGCCCTTACTTCCCAAAGGGAGGTCAAGGGTTCAAGCCTTCATGGAGGCATGCATGTGTGAGCATCAACTATGAAAAAAAAAATGGGTAAAAGATTTATATCTTCCTAGTGCTTCTGGTGAGCCATTCAAATTTATGTTGTCCCTTTAAATCTCGCTAGATCTTGGAAACTCCAGTCAGCTAGGGTGGGTTTCCATTCAAATGAACCGTTAGCTTTCGGCTTTAACCCCATTTCCCTTGACAAGCGTCGTTTAACATATGCCAAATTGATGTGATTATGGTTAAGTTTAAATTTATAAAAGCCACTACCACTACTACTACTAACTAATAAGAGTGAGTAGAGATCATCCAAAGGGATTTGTAAGATACTATGCAATCAATATCGAATTAATAGGTCAAATGATCAAAGAGAGGTTTTGGTTGGTTGAATTAAACTAATGGTTCAATTTAAAACATGCAAATTAAAATGCAATCTAGAGATTATGGATTAGAGAATGAGAGAGAGGTCTTAGGGTTTAGAGTTCACCACTACGCTTGACTTTACTAAACATTAGCATTTGTTAATTTAAGGGGGTTTGATGTTGTAAAACAAGTGTGTGTGCCATTAATTGAAATACTGAGTATGGATGGCAAATTAAGCATAAATTGTCTAATCAATCTAGTGAGTAGCACAACATATCAAACTAAGCCATTAACCATTCAATAAACCCACAATTAATATGTACACAAAAAATCTAGAGAAATGTACTACTTGCACTCATAAGCATGGATCATCAAACAACAAGAATGGATTGTCTACTTATCTAGGAAATTAAAGCAACTAAGCTACAACTATGCTAATGACATGAAAATTAAACTAATTAAGCTAAGGAGGTAGCACGACCCATCAAGAAATAAGTATGATCCATCAAACAATCCATAAGAGTAGTCAATGAAGCACCATGTCTTAACCATCACTAGATTTATAATTTCAACACACATAGATATGCATCAAACTCATAAATCCTAGTGTAAGCACTTGACCATTCATTCTAGCATACATAGACATATAGATAGAAATAAAAGATTAATTGGAAGAATTAATCCAAACAAATCATATAAAAACTCAAGATCTATATATAAACATGGTCGAAACATTATTTACAACATAAATCCTCAAAAACTACAAAAGACTAAGTTTATGAAGCAAGCCTAGAGGCTAGCTCTAGCCCCAAGAGAGGGATTTAGCCACTCATGGTATGTGTCATCCAACCATCAAGGGCTATCTTCAATGTTGGAATCATCTTCCTCCCCTTTGCTTTGCTCCCAAAAACCCTAGTACTAGAGAGAAAAAAATATCTAATACCTGTAACAATTCTTTTTTAAAATTGTTG